GAACAGGTAAATCGAAGTTTTCGTTGTGTTTTATTTGTGTTTTATTATCTATTTAAAGGGCCCACAGCAATTGGTACCATACTGTTGTGGTGACCCTGCCATGAATGCATGATAATGGCGAAGTTAAATAAATAAATAAACTTTTATTAACACTTCCTTTACTTACGGTGACAAAGAACAGGGTATGCCTTTTGTATGGGGTCACTGTTTTCTGTCCACCCCTGTATTTGGGATCATTCATTTGGTACGCACGCACTGGAGACATCATCCTTGATGTACTGACGGTTATTCAAGCTACCAAGAGGCATAAAGAGCGGGGAACCCGACGCGATATTCATATCAGACTTCGGACGTTGAAATGAGGAACTTTGAGGATCTGAATTAAACGCATCAATCATGTGATCTCCATTGCCTTGATCCAACAGCATCATCGTGATCGTCTTTTGAAATGGCCAGGTTTGAAGAGCATCATAGTCACCTTAAATTTTTGTAATAAAGATTATTGTGATGTACCACAATGGCCCTTTGCATAAACTTATCATAATGCCATCCAGTCACGATCCAGTGATCAGAATGTTTCAATGTGTTTCCACTGTTTTAGAAATCCTACTGCTCTCCAGACCAACCACCAGACACCCATTTTTGGACTAATTTTTACATTTATGCAAAGGGAATTTATACAAATTTTAAAGGAAAACAGGCATTAGAGGCGATATTCACTACTTATTTACATTGAAGAATACCCCGGCTTACGGATCAAATGCTTTGCTAAATAAATAACTGTTGTGTTTTCCGGAAACAAAATCGGAAACAAATTCGCTATAAACAAATCATTCAACTCACCTCTCATCACAACAAAAATAACGACAAATGCGATCCTTTTCCAAAACAATCTCCATTCAAGTAAATTTTAGCACACATCTTGTAACCATACTGAGCGCTGTAGAAAGGTGGACTTCACCCCATTGATAGCATCTTGCCGTTTTCTCTGGTAGCTTTCAATCTTCCACAGTAAAGTGCCATTGTAACTATGGATAATGTGTTGTGCACGCGGACCTCTTTGGGATTCCAGATCGGTAATTTTGACTGTATTCAGAGCAAGAGACTCATCCATTTGATCCATCCTACTTCGCAAACGATCAATAATTGAGACCTTATCTCTCACTTCTCGTTCTAAACTCATATTCCGTTCACGCAAGTTGTCGCATTCAGTAGTGAGGTCTCTAGCTTTACTCTTCAGCTCCTGTAATTCATTTCTAATCCTTCTTGTATCACCCCCACCACTGGACTCCAAACCTTCAATCCGTCTTTCCAAGCCAGTTAACTTTCCAACAAGCATAACGAATTTTTCGGCCAAGCCAGAACGAACTTCGGTGATATCGTCGCGAATTTTCTGCATGATCCCTGTAAATTCCGGACGTGGGATATAGTTGCCCAGCTGGGAAGCGATAGTCAAAATATACTGCAATAGTAATCTGACATGATCTATCAATTTATCGAACAAATGTTGGCGTAATTCCTTTCGCTTCAAAGTCTACAAATTGTATCAAAAATGATTGGTGAATAAGAATTTATAAAAGATCTATGCTTTTGAGTGTATTTCATTTATTGTATAGCTCATCTCTACAATCGAAGACGTGCTTTTAAAAATCAAATACAACAACAGCAAACAATTTTTCATTACGAATAACCATGAATTTTATTTCTACTATCAGTCGACGATAATCTTAATAAACATGACATCATCCTTGATGTACTGACGGTTATTCAAGCTATCAAGAGGCATAAAGAGCGGGGAACCTGAAGCGATATTCATATCAGACTTCGGACGTTGAAACGAAGAACTTTGAGGATCTGAATTAAACGCATCAATCATGTGATCTCCATTGCCTTGATCCAACAGCATCATTGTAATCTTCTTTTGAAATGGCCAGGTTTGAAGAGCATCATAGTCACCTTAAATTTTTGTGATAAACATTATTGTGATAATTGTGATATACTACAATGGGCCCTTTGCATAAACTTATAATGCCATCCAGTCACAATCCAGTGATCATGCAGAATGTTTCAATGAATGAATTTCCACGGTTTTAGACCACTGCTCTCCAGACCAACCACCAGTCACCCATTTTTGGACTAATTTTTACATTTATGCAAATGGCCCAGAAGTTTTGAAGGAAAACAGGCATTAGAAGCGATATTCACTACTTATTTACATTGAAGAATACCCCGGCTTACGGGTCAAACTCTTTGCTATAAACAAATAAATAATCGTTGTGTTTTCCGGAAACAAAATTCACCAGAAATTCGTTATAAACAAATCATTCAACTCACCTCTCATCACAACAAAAAACAGCGACAAATGTGATCCTTTTCCAAAACCATCTCCATTCATGTAAATTTTAGCACACATCTTGTAACCATACTGAGCGCTGTAGAAAGGTTGACTGTACAAGGCCGTCTTCACTCCATTGATGGCATCTTGCCGTTTTCTCTGGTAGCTTTCAATCTTCCACAGTAAAGTGCCATTATAACTATGGATAGCTTGTTGTGCACGCGGACCTCTTTGGGATTCCAGATCGGTAATTTTGACTGTATTCAGAGCAAGAGACTCATCCATTTGATCCATCCTACTTCGCAAACGATCAATAATTGAGACCTTATCTCTCACTTCTCGCTCTAAACTCATATTCCGTTCACGCAAGTTGTCGCATTCAGTAGTAAGGTCTCTAGTTTTACTCTTCAGTTCCTGCAATTCATTTCTAATCCTTCCTGTATCACCCCCACCACTTGACTCCAAACCTTCAATCCGTCTTTCCAAGCCAGTTAACTTTCCAACAACCATAACAAATTTTTCGGCTAAGCCAGAGCGAACCTCGGTGATGTCGTCGCGAATTTTCTGCATGATCCCTGTAAATTCCGGACGTGGGATATAGTTGCTCAGCTGGGAAGCGATGGTCAAAATATACTGCAATAGTAACCTGACATGATCTATTAATTTATCGAACAAATGTTGGCGTAATTCCTTTCGTTTCAAAGTCTATAAATTGCATTAAAGATGATTGGTGAATAAGAATTTATAGAAGACTATTGAGCACTTGCTCATCTATGCTTTTGAGTATATTTTATTTGTTGTATAGCTCATCTCTACAACCAAGGACGCGTACTTTTAAAAATCAGATACAACAACAGCAAACAAAATTCTATTTCTACTTGATAGTTCTAAACTGTTCCTCCTAAAGGCCCAGTATAAGGGTCTTCCACTTATCGGTTGAGCGCCACGTGTTCAACAGTACAGGAGGAAACTTAAACTAAGTTTATTTTATAGAAAAGAGGAGTGGTAAGGCGGGTGGTGCGGGTCAATTAAGGTAAATTTTACTTTTTAGTGTTATTATACTCGCGGAAAACTGAACTAAACTAACTTTACTTATACTGGATAGCTCTATCAGTCCTAAACTGTTCTTTCTAGAGCTTCAATAAGGCGAAGGGACACCCTATAACTTTTAATCTAATTTTAACAAGTTTATTGGACCACAATTAACGTTAACATAAACTATTCAACGGCCCAAAAGGGATAATGCCAACGAGACGACAAGTCCCATGCAAGGCGCCTAAAATAGTCCACTGCATAAAGCATGAACACTAGTTATAACATAGAGCAGAACGAGCAAACAGAAGCGAATGATGAATATAAGGATAACTGATATCTCGATGTGACTAGTAGATCGAACAACGATTTATCGTAAACCATCATCAATCGCCTCTATATGAATGTTCTACCTCAAAGTTTACTCTTAATTAGTCTATGGCACGAGCAGCTCGCACTATATAACTCAATTAATACAAGAGGAAACAGAATTATCGGGAGAATCATCTGGCAACTATTGCAGGAATTGTGCTCCGGTCACAAAAGTGAAAAATTCATGTACTGACCACTATACGTATACCGACACTACACACATGCAGCAACAAATTATTACCTTATCATGGTTGCACCCTACAGCTTGAAACTCGCAAGTCGCCGGGACCTCGTCGCAATCGCGTCTCTCGTGTTTTTCTATATCTTTTCTCAAAACATCTTTCTTACAGTATCTGCAAGTCACAGGTGCACCTTCACAGCTCGTATCAACATGTTCCTAGACAAAGAATGAGCATAATTGAGTAAACTGGCTTGAGGCCAACTACATAACACGACTTGACTTGCCGAGTTTGTCAAACTGACTTCAAAGGGAGACTTGTGGATATGTAATTCTCGTTAATAGTTTACGAAGAAAATATAAAAAGAAATCACGACTGTGAAGGGGCTTGTAGATCTGACACATCGTTTTCATCAAGACGACTACTCAAAAGCTATATTTTGGCTCGTGTTTGTATATCTTATACAACACAACCGTTGTTGTAGACACAAATTGATGTAGCATATCAAAAATGTTTTACTGTTATCGTAGTCGCAACCGATTTGAATTCGCAAAGAACTGTTTCTTATAACCTACACGCAAGGGGGCAAGCAATTGTGGCGGGACAAAAATAGTCTCGGCTCTTTAATAAAACAGTAGAGTTGTTCACATGATATGTTTCTTGTCCCGGGATAAGAATTGACCAAGGTGACTCGCCTCTGTAGACAGCAACACTCGCTTTTTCCTCATGTGAACACTCTGCCCCGGGGCAACTTTGTCTGCATGGGATAATTGAATTTTAGTGGTAAAGCGACCTAAATCGTTGCTTAGCTTACATATAGGGCACATTAGACTTACATTATAGAGCACTAAAAGTGATGATTCTAATAAAATTAAAATAAAATTGTTGCTGATATCATGTTTGAAACTAAGAAATGTAGTATGCTCCTCAAAAAATTTGATCAGATCTACCAATCAACTATGTTGTATTGGTAAGCATCCTAATATAAAATACGACTTGCGTTTGCCAGAATGGTTTCTAGCAATATTTCACTGATATTACTCTGAGTGTGTATTCACACCGGGCAGGCTGAAAAATTTGCCTGACCACGGTGGGAATCGAACCCGTGACCTTTGGGATACCAGTCCAAGAGTAGGTGATATTTCGGAACTGAGCCTAGTTCCTTCGATACCAATGTGTTCTTGTGATGATGATCACACATTGGTATCGAAGGAACAAGACTCAGTTCCGAAATATCACCTACTCGTAGCTCAAATGGCAGAGTATTGGACTGGTGTTCTAAAGGTCGCGGGTTCGATTCCCCCGTGACCAGGTAAATTTTTCAGCCTGCCCGGTGTGGATACACACTCAGAGTAACATAGAAACATCATATTACATAAGAGTACATAACATCAAACACACAACCAAAAATTACATTTCACTGTTTCACGTTGGTGGGAATATTTTAGATTCCCCCGTCATTTATTTATAGGCAAGACCCACGCCAGCTTTCCTCTTGTGAACAGAAGATATCAGTACCCTGGGTCAATCAATTGTCGCGGGGCAGTTGTTTATCCTCAGATAGTGTGAACATGGCCTCAGTTTGGCCAGTTATCTTGTGATTAAAGATAAAATCATAATTTTCTATAAGATCTTTTATTTTACTTACCTTTATTGAGGCAAAGGCGACATCTTGCCCACAATACTCACATTTCAAATGCCGATATTCACATTCGCTTTTTAAATGTTCGCCCAAATCCGAGCGTTGTAACTTCATCTGGCATTGGGAATGGACGCATTTGATCAATGCATGTTCACAAACCTCAGAATGTCCCTAATACAGGAAATGAGTATATTGCTTTTCACTGGTATTTAGCTACCGTATAATTCAGAAAGAAACAGCCCCAGGACGGCGACTGCTATATTTCGAGGTAGTCACTACGTTAAAGGGCATATGATACGAGTTCTGAATGATCAGTAATAATTGGAGAGATATTTATTCAATCTAATCTGAAACCACCCTAATTACGGTAAACCGTGCCCAAAGATTGAATAAATAATTTAAATTTTAAGATAACTCATTATGGAATGTGACGTAAGCATATCAACCTAACCTCAATGTCTCTTAATTCATTCCTTTTCTCCATCCAGGGCCTTTCCCTTTCATCTCCCTCTTTCATTCCTCCCCCCCCCCCTCTCCGTGCCTCACTCATTTATCCCTTACTTCGTTAGCTCTCTCCATGTCTTCCTAACCTCTCTAATTAATGTCTTTGCTGGCACCCCCTCCTTCTCTCCCTCTTATCCAACCATACATCAACTCACCTCCAGCTGCTCGTAAGTGCCACGCCAAGAACAACCAGGATTCGCACAATGCAAGTGAAGAGCATTAAGCTCGCGTTTAGTAAAAGTATCGCGGAAAATCTGAAAGAGTTAAAACATTTCGCTCTCCTATTTAGATATATACACTAAAGGGACTAAGTAGATATGATTGACTGCAGTCTTTATTTGTATAGGTATAATAGTATGGTTTCGAGTGCAATTTGGGAAAAACATGCACGAGTGAGTTTTTAAAAGCAATTTGAAGTCTTTGAAAAACTCACAAGTGTATGTTTTTCCCAATTCCACTCGAAACCATACTATTACCTATACAAATAAATACTGCAGTCAATCATATATTATTAATAATATACTTGAAAAAATTATGCAGAAAGAAATTTGTATTATTTTCACTTTTTGCACTGTATTTCACTTTTTGGCACTGTAGCCCCGTTTACACTACGCTCAATTTTTGGTACGGCACGGATAAAATTGGTACCCGTACCACTTTTTTGGTTCTTGGACTAGCTATGTAGGTAGTTCAAGAACCCAAAAACTGGTACGTTACCAAAAATCGAGCGTACTGTAAACGGGGCTTAATTTTGCTAGGTTTTTGAAACCAAAAAAGTAGTACGGATACCAATTTTATCCGTGCCGTACCAAAAATCGAGCGTAGTGTAAACGGGGCTTGTATTTCATTTTTTGGCACTGTATTTCACTTTTTGGCATTGTTTTACGAAAAAATTGCACTGCTCTTAGCCAATCAGAATTGAGAAATTTTTTATGTATATTATTAAAACACGAACATTGTTCGTGTTAGTTTTTTTTTAATATTGATATACATAAAAAATGGACATGGTGATGAGAGTAAATGTCGGTCAGCGTGGTCCTTAAAAGGCTGAAACAGTATGGCACCAGCTGTACAAGTTCGTTTTTCTGCCATTCTGTGCACTACACTATGATATACATTCTACACTTTCTCACTACTATACCTAAAAGGAAGCGAACATCAAGGATCAGTCTATACTGCTTAAATATCATCCCATTTCATTTTGCAGTTTGTTCTATACTGCTTAAATATCATCCCATTTCATTTTGCAGTTAATTATGGTTTTATGTTCCTTTGCTTTAGGAGATACAGCAACTACAATGTGGTCTGGTAAACCAAATAATTGGATAAACGTTCGATGAGTTATAGTTCTTATGCATGTTGGTTAGGATCAGGTCTAGTGGAGCATATCCCACAATGGAAAACACATTTAATATATTTTCTGAGCATCTTCGTGATATCAAGGAGAAGATGCACAGCAGAGGTGTTACCAGGCACTTTTATTGTGCCGTCCACCCAATCACTGGTGAAAACGATATTCATGAAATGCGTCTCACATTCCAACTTGTTACTGCTGATCCGAATGGTGTTAATGAGCGATTTTCTTCCATCTAGCTCATGACCTCGTATTGCCTTCATTTACATCTCAGAAATACAATCACCATAGCTATATCATATTTTCGCTTGTTTATATAATCAGTTAGCCTGCGTGCAGGCATAAAACCAGGTTGGTTATGCTTTAATTTGCCATGGGTACGTTCGTTACTTTGATTGGTATGATTCGCATTTGTAACTCTGCTACAAAAAGCAGCGAGTCTCATCTAGATCTTCGAAGCCTTTTAAATCTCCTGAAGAAGAGCATTTGCTCCAAAGAAGTATGCCTTTTCCATGTTTGTGCTGTAATAAAGTTTTCCATAAATGTTCAAATGAAAAGCACTCACTTTTTCTTTACTCAATTCTTCACCATCTTCGGGACACTTTGGATTTTTACTCCTGAAAAAAACAGGATATTTTTCATCCCACCTCCGTTTCTGTAGTGTGTGGTCATTTACAGTATTTTGTTCTGTACTGCTGTGGTTGGTGTATGGTTACCTAATTATAGAGAAATCTGGCGATAAAATTCAAATTTCGCAGCGTTTATGTGCTACAGTACATATATACTAACAATTTTTTCTGTGTTGGTGTTATGTATACTCAGGTGAATATGATGTTTGTGGTGTTACCCTGAGTGTGTATCCACACCGAGCAAGCTGAAAAGTTTGCCTGACTACGGAGGGAATCGAACCCGCGACCTTTTAGATATCAGTCCAATGTTGTACCAACTGAGCTACGAGGTCAAGTCGGTTCGAGCACAGGCGGCCCAATCTCGCAAGGGTCAGTATAGACTATAAATATAGTATAAATGTATATTATAGTAATGTATATTATAGTAAAAATATGTCATAAAATATAAATTTTAAAATGAAATTGACTTGCCTATTTGACAGTGTGTGTTCTCCTTTTATTCCTCCTTTGTTGGACTAATATTTTCCGAGACTTTGTACTCGATGTTACTAGTATACATGAAACATGATAAAGGCTAACGATTTCCGATCGTCGATCTAACGGCATAGCACTTCGAATCGAAAATTCTCTGACTCAAATCGCTTTATTCTCCAAAAAAAATCGCCAGCATGTACAACAGATGCCGCTCTTCGAAAATACGGAGATACTTCGGAGAGATGTACAAGTTTTGGACCATATTTTTACAATGGAAATCAAAACCCATTTTATTTTGAACTTGCCCAGGCCGAAAATTACTACGGCGAACGTCTGCGCAACCAGGTCTCCTTTACCATTGGATTTACAGGGGGAAACAGATATTTCCGGTAACAGCCAGCCAATCGCAACCGTGATAGCGACTGCTCACATTATTTAAAATTTGATATTCAAAATAAAAACTCCTTCGATCGGATACTGTATAAAACTCGAGATGTTGTCGAAGAAAAGAAAACTAAACGACGGAGATTGTAGGAATTTAAGGAAGAAGAAATATACAGCGGCTCTTTGTTGGAAAGCATGGTAGAATATGATACTTTAATGCGAAATATGATCGTTAATATATTAGTGGCATCCTTCCCCCTGTAAATCTCAACGGTAAGGAGGCCTGGTTGCGCAGACGTTCGCCGTAGTAATTTTCGGCCTGGGCAAGTTCAATATAAAATGGGTTTTGATTTCCATTGTTAAAATATGGTCCAAAACTTGTACATCTCTCCGAAGTATCACCGTATTTTCGAAGAACGGCATCTGTTGTACATGCTGGCGAATTTTTTTGGAGAATAAAGCGATTTGAGTCAGAGAAATTTCGATTCGAAGTGCTATGCCGTCGGATCGACGATCGGAAATCGTTAGCCTTTATCATGTTTCATGTATACTGGTAACATCGAGTACAAAGTCTCGGAAACAAAGGAGGAATAAAAGGAGAACACACACTGTCAAATAGGCAAGTCAATTTCATTTTAAAATTTATATTTTATGACATATTTTTACTATAATATACATTACTATAATATACATTTATACTATATTAGTCTATACTGACCCTTGCGAGATTAGGCCGCTTGTGGTTCGAGTTGGCGATATTTCGATTGACCTCATAGCTCAGTTGGTAGAGCATTGGACTAATATCTCAAAGGTTGCGGGTTCGATTCCCACCGTGGTCAGGCAAACTTTTCAGCTTGCTCGGTGTGGATACACACTCAGAGTAACACTACTAACAACTAATGGAAATAGCGTGGAAGTAATGTTTGCGTGGATGTAATGTTTATTGATAAACTCATAGCAACTTTTACTTTCTTACATGCTTTTAAAATAAAGATAATAAAAAAAACAATGAACTTATATTTATTGAAAGAAGACACTAAAAATGATCATACTCAAGTAAGTTTTCGACGCAGGATTTACACATCAAGTGACCACACATGGTTTGAAAGGGAATGTACAACAGTAAGTTACACAAAGTGCAGATGAACTTTATATCGATCCTCTGGCGGTCTTCATCTGTAATCTTAGTTCCAGGCATGTTGGACAATGTCTACGAAGTTTGTCTTCACCTAAAAATATCATGGGTGTAAAATTAATAATACGTGTTAAAGAAACTGCAAAATGCAATCTCCATTATGAAATTGCAAATAATTCGAGAATCGCTATTGGTAGCAAAAAATCAAGCTTTCAATTCTTAGGCGAAATGAAATAAAGTACAAATTGACATATCTATAAACTAATTTCCGGGTTACTAATTTTGGGGTCTATGATTGGACATTAGCTTAGTGAACCAAATAGCCTGGCTACATCGAAAGTAGTGTTCATTATATATGGCCGAACATTGTTGCCAAGCAAAATTCCCGAGTTCAAGACTATAAATAGAATGTTACCCAACATACATTGCGCGCTCAATATTTAAGGTTTAAGATTTTTGATATACAGCTAATTCAAAAAAGGTTGTCCTTCCAAACTCTAAGCGCAAAAAGTGCAATGGGAACGCTCTCCGTTGTAAATCTTGGCTGTATTTTGTCCATTCACGTTAGTGGTCCGATGTTAAAAATATATCTATTTATTATTGAATCGTTCGCCAATTCACCCAGTTCTATTTGTTCATTCAGGAATTCGTACGGTTAGTTGTGCCAGACTTTGTCTGCATGATTGTAGCGCAAATTTTGATATCTTCCAGTCCCAAAACGCTCCTCTTCTCACATACTAGGCCCTACTGCAAGCAAATGATATTTATTTGTATTTAATTATCCGCTTTACATTTACAAGTATAACAAACTAAGTTGACTTGAAAAAGTAAGAAGGATAGTGTTGGCACTGCTGGGCATAGGTAATGTTTGAATATGAAAGGAAAAGTATGAATTGCATAGACTGTACATGGGCAACGAAATATTGACATCATTATTTATCCCATAAATAATTCCCTTGATCAGGGTAAGATAAAACCATTTAACGGTATTTTTGTCCGCCATCCGCATTTTATTATTTTTGTTAGCCGTCCGGGCCGGTCCGTCCGTCCGTATCCGCGTTTTATCCCAACTTTGTTGCTGGTACAGTGGAACCCCGTTAATACGGTCACCAACGGGCCAAAATAATATGGCCGTATTAACGGGGTGGCCGTATTAACGGGGTGAGATCAAATTTCAATTGTGACGTCATTAAAGCTATGTTTATTCGAAAATCACAATAACACCATACCCCACCATAATACCAATTAATAACTAAACATTATAAATTTCAGATAAAGTTTTCACTAATTTTAAGGAAACAATGTTAGGGAATACAACGTCGCTAAAGAACCTTGTATTCTTTCTTTTCCTTTGGGCGACTGATAATAAAAATAAAAAAATTAGTAATATGATGCAACTTGAATTGTGTGTTTCACCGCACAAGGTGTCCAGTGCCGTAGCTAGCATGTATAGTTGGGGGGGGATGTTCCGGAAACGACGAAAAGCAAAAATTTCCGAATATTTCATGGCATACGAAGCTCGCATATAAAGATGCAATTCAGGGAAATTTTTTTTTCAATCGAAAATTCTGCGCGACCTCCCCCCCCCATTAATATTAATATGTTAATTCTACAAAAGTTGGGGGGGGGTTAACCACCCCCCCCCCCAATACCCCCCTCGCTACGGCCCTGAAGGTGTCTTAAATTATACTGCATTTCCGTCCGTAAACACATTTATTTTTTTTGAGTGACCGTATTAACGGGGTGATTTCTTTAGTTCGGGAGTCTACAATATGGCCGTTGGCCGTATTAACGGGGTGGCCGTATTAACCGGGAAACTTTATTATAAAATGTATTAGTGTTTCGCCGGGACAAAAAAAAGTGACCGTATTATCGAGGTGACCGTATTAACGGGGTGGCCGTAAGGCGGGGTTGCACTGTAGCTTGGAGCCGCACATCTCACATGAATTTGCCGAATATCACTGCCAGTGCCAGATATCGATGTCCGGCCGACTCGACCAATTATAAATCAAGTTTTGCTTCCCATGCAGTTATGCATTTATATGACAAGCCAATGACATATGTTGCTCAAAACGATTTATTTCTTTGGATAAATTATTTCCCCATGAATCACGCGTTACGACTTGTATCGTAACATAAACTTACTAAGCATACTAAGTAATAAATACATCACATATCTTCGAATTTGAATTGATTTGGGGATAAAATTATGAAACCATAGTCCGACAGAAAAGTGGTCTTGTCTGGCCAATTTACTCGCTGGGATTGACATTTGTGGAATTGATGCCCTCTTCCACTTTCTGCTCTAAAGGTATCTTCCGCGGTTAGGAAAAGCAGGCATCTCAATACTTAAGAATGGAGCAAACTTCGACGCCTTTCTAGCTGGGTCGGGAATTGACAATGATACTAGTACTTTTAAATCTCACCAGACCTTACTTCGTACTTTTTTCATACGTATATACTTATACTAACTCCATGTATAGCCACGGTTTGACCGATGAAATTCATCTGATTGGTTTTAATCACATGATTGCTTTCGTACCCCCAAAATCGAATCAAACGGCATTGGAAACGCTTCCTGGTTGCAGGAAATATGGCAATCCGGAGAACTTTCACAAATAATAATGATACCTGGATTACAAATATTTAAACAAATATATAATATATATCACATAACGTCCCGTGCAAAAGAGCTAATGTAACGTAAAAAATGGCATAGCTATCTCAAATAAGCTTACCAAACTCTCCAGTATATATCTGGTATGTAATGTATATACATGCACATGTGATAACCACACAAAGTACACACGAACATATAAAGAGTAAATAAATATAGACAATTGAGCACATGGAACACGTGCAATCATGTGTTCAGCACATAATTATCTCGTGATGGTAACTTCCGCAATGGCCTTTTTTATTCAGAACCTGAAATGACCAAAATCTCCCTTCAGTAAACTTCTGCATGGAAATTTATGTTAGATTTGAGCATTCTATGCACATTGCGTAATCCTTTGCGTAACATGACACGCATGTGCAAGCACATGCAAGTATAAACCCACGGTATAGTATTATAAAAAAGTCGTAAACTAAAGATGTCTAGATAAGAGTTCGTGCAGCATTAAAGTTTGGGGAGTTATAAACTATAAAGCTATATAACACATATAAAAGTATCTCACCTGCGCATGCAGTGGGCTGTCACTAAATGATTTGCAAATGATGATTTCGCAATTATTAAACATACATGCAATATATAAAAGACGAGACAATGTCTCAGCTATATATGGACATATACTCAGACATTGCATGGACTTTGGCTGATATAAAACCTCAAATTCAAAGTGTCCAATCAGAAAGCTAAGTTTGTACTTATCATCGGAATCACGCCACATAACCCAGGAAATATCATCACTTCGGGTAATATTTCGCCGAATAAAGGGTCTATACATGATAAATATTACACCTCAAATTCAATTTGTCCAATCAAAAATATCATTTGCACCACGTGACAATGTGATTTTTTACGGTATTTCACTCAAATTCATGATTTCGCAATGCAGCATGAGATATTAGTACAGCCAGGAATATAAATTTAGCACACGCCAAAAACGTTTTAAAATACTGTTTAATATATGATAATATTCACTAAAGCATAAGCAAGAATATATCAAGTGGAATCTGTTGAATTACGCGCTGCTTTTATACGGTGCGCGTTAGCCTGCGAGCAGGCTCTCTGGGTGAAAGAGAGCCTGCAAGGATCCCTATAACATTTACGTGCATGCGTCCAATATTTGGACGCAGAGCTCTGATTGGTTGATAAATTATTCACATGAAATGATTGACAAGCTTCCATAAACTACACTTCCCGTTTGTAAAACCGAGCAACATATTATTAAATTATGTCCAATGTCCATGGTATATCATATATGTCTGTGTCTCACCAAAGCCATAATTCCAAACAACTGAATTAGTTAGCGGGTAAAAAACAACTTCAAACTTACTGTGCCCACAGAAACACATGCAGATTGTTATTTAGTAAAAGTACAACTTGATATATTACACTGTCACACTGTAAAACCGCGAGCCGTTTTAACTTTTTTTTAATAGTATGGACACAGAATAAGGAATCTGTTCAACGTTTATCGGTTTATGTTTACAATATTGCAGTGTATTCCCGGTCTGCGCTTATAGAGCCTGCTCGCAGGCTAGGTACGCGTACAAATACAAACGACAGATACTATTGGATTTCATATTAAATCTAATACTGCTATGCACATAGAAACCAAAACTTAGTATTTAAGTCACGTTTCGATTTTGCTGTATATTAGATAGTATTCATACGTTTGGACCAGGACCAGGGGTTATAGGGCAATAACGGTGGGATAGATCGCAAAGCTCGTTTAAAACCTTATTTTTTTACCTTTAATATAATGAAAAACTTAAAATTTTGATTGATGACCATTCTAGAGAATGTATTCAAAAGTAATTTCAAGCGGTTGACTTATTTCCATATTGCGAAACCGCGATGAATAACTCGCGCAAAGTTGAACTGTCTAATTTCACGCACCGCCCGGTTGTGTTAATTCTATCCTTCCGTGAACACAACAACTTTGGTATGCGTAAATTTACGCTTTCGAGGAGTAAGATATTGATATGTTAATGACATAATATCATTTGTTCCGCTTTTCTGAACTAACGATATAAACATATTTAATTTCCGAAACACACAACGCAAACAAGATCACTAATCAAAGGCCGTTGAGGCCGACTCACGGATGAGATCAAATGAAAGTGACAGAAAGAATTAGAGCAGCTTAAGCCCGATTTCCGGTTCTGAAAGGCCCGATTCGCGGGCAAAAAGTGCACGCAAAGCAGGCTGGTCATTTCCCATTGTTTAACTGCCCCACACTCAAGTAACCACAAAGACTCATAAATGTTGCTTCGCAATATCCGTGAGTCAAAAATGATGTTATTATGCGGCTCAAGTCGCCGAAAGGTCATAACATGTCAAATATGTCTAGCATCGTCTAGTCTTGCTAATTTCGCCCTGCCACAATTTTTTA